CACATGAGCTCCACGTCCAAACCATGCCAGGACTAGGCTGGACACAAATAGAAACAGCCGGAAAAAAAAAAAAAAAAAGCTTTTTATGTCATTCTCCAAACTGAGGAGAAGCACTGGACAATCTGCTAAGCTCAAATGCAGCAGTTTGGAAGCGAGGGAGTTTAACAGATGAGTGAATACCTGCAGGGCATCTAACAACACTTTCAACAGATCATTCCCACGATCTAGCTTGAATGTTTCTTCTGAGTCACAGCTGCGCTGCCGAAACCAGCAGGAGGCTCGGCGCTCACTGATGCATTTACGGCTCCCTGCAGGCACCATGGGATGCTGTCCCCAGATTGGGTGGGTATATGCGGTGCCACAATGCCAAACCTTGCGCAAGGGAAGCAGTCCAGACTCCCATGGGTTGTGGCCTTGAGTTTCGACAGCTCTGGAGGGAGATCCACCAGCAGAACACAGAGAGTGTCCTGGATTTGTCCATGCGCTGCCTGGGCCATGGCTCCAGGGCAAGGAGAAGGCAATGGGGAACCCTTGCTTTGCGCTCCCAGAAACTGCCCTGCTCAACATCCCAGCGGCAGGAAGCTGATGAGTCCTTCAACATGGACACCTATCTAAGGAGACTTCCCTCTAAGGTGGGGAACGCAGAGAGACTTAGAAAATGAGCCCTCAAACTTGGGCAACCAAGCACATGCTGACTGAGCTGTCTGTTTTACCCCAGGCCTGCAGAGATTCGGGGTGTTAGCGGACAGATAAATCCAGAGATGGTCACAAGTTCCATCCAAGGACTCAGGTTGAAAGAAAATGTCATTCCCAAGTGTTCCCAGCTCTGGTTCCCAGATGCTTGGTTCTCCTTCCTAAAGAAGGCAGGCCACAAGGAGCTGCCAACCTCTGCAAAGCCCTTGCAAATTGCCCTAAATATATATATATACACACAGAGAGAGGGTGAAGGACACGCGCCCAGGAGCGAGCGCTGTGCCCCAGGGTCAGCAGGATGTAAACAGGAATCGCCTCTGGCTGCTGCTGCTGCCGTCACAGCAAACAGGATGCCTAGAGGTCCTGCCACAGCGGGAGGAGATGGGCCCCGGGGGGAAGAGGGGTGGCAGGACGGGCCCCTCCGGTGCTGGTGTGTTGGACTCAGCGGGAGGAATGGCTGAGCACCACCTGCTCCATCCACCCAGTGATGCTGATGGGCCTACAGAGATGAGATGGGCAGGGCTGCCTCAGCGCAACGGGGCTCTTCTCCGCTTCAGAAATAAGATGTCAGGGCTGCCTTAGAGCAATGGGACTCTTCTCCCCTTCAGAGCCATGCCTGAAAAGCCCAGGTGGACCAAGGCTCTCAGCTATGGGGACGGTTGTGTGGTCATGTTTTCCCCTGCAGTGACCATTTGAGGAGTCCTGTGCCCTCACGTTAGGAATCAGTCCTGTGCTCTGACCGACCTGGCCTGGATCTTTTCTAGCTCCCCTGTGGCCAAGGCCTCTTCCTGCTCCCTTTTGCCAAGTGGGACTAAAAGAAAGCAGCAAGTGTGCCAACTGGAGCACGCCTGGATCAAGTTCCCATCGCTCTCTTAAGGAGGCGGCTTCGCCGGCGTAGGAAAAGCCAAGTCATGGCCCTGGAGAAGTAGGAAGCACCAAGTAAGGTAGCTCTGCCCACCCAGCAGCCGGGAAAACGTGGGAAGGAAGGCAGCTCCAGCCGGCCCCACGTTATCTCCAAGCCCAGATGGCCTTAAGCACTTCCCCAGAGCTCAGGAAGGGCCAGCGCTCCGCTTTGAATTGCCTGTTAAAAAGTAAAAGAGAAGAAATGAACAAGCTGCAACTTGGTGGCACGGGGAAACGGCTCTACTAATCCCGCTTCCTTCCCTGAGCTTAGTCAGAGCCGGGTCGGGATCACCTAATCTGCTTATTGTTAGCCGGCCGCATGGAGCCCGGGCGCAGGGCCAGTAGCGGGAAACCCTCCCGATTAATCTACAGCCCGCGCTGCTAAACCCGGCGCCGCCGCTTCGCAGCAGGGCGCCCGGCGCCTGCTCATCCCCCCCATGCCAGGCAACAACGGGCGATGTCCTGGCATGGGGTCAGCATCTAGCACAGGGTTTAAGCAAGTTAAAGCCATGGGAAGGGGAACAGCGACTCCTGGCTTCGTTTCTCAAAAGGATGCGCGAGTGACTTGGCACCTGCAGCAGGCTCCCGAGGTTCTTGGGGAGCAGCTGTGGGGCAGAGGGCCTGGGAAAGGCACTGGAGAGCTGCTGGTCCACCCAACGCTGGGTGTAGCTGAGGCCGCACAGCCACTGTCGCCAAGATGCTGCATGGCTCGTGTGAACCCTGCTGGATCAACCTGCAGAGGATGCTGCCCTCTTTTGGGCCCAGCATGCCTGGCAGAGATTCGGGGAAATTAGGAGAAGCCCAAGGCTGATGCTCCTCAGGCCAACAAAAACCTCACGTGAGGGAACTAAAAATGTGATGACATCTCTCTCTGTGGACATGCCAGGACCTTCTCCCACTGCAAGCTGAGCTGTGGCACACACAGGTGACTTCCCAACGCAGCCTGGAAGGGGCTGAGCTCCGTCACATCCCCAAAGACCGGGGAAATGCTGGCTGGGATGAGGAGGGAGGAGGTGAAGGCAGCACAAGCTGGGAAGGTCCCCCAGGCCAGGCGAGGGCCACAGGGAGCTCCCCAGCCCTGAGTGCTGCCAGCACGTCATTTTAATTAATCGTTGTCACAAAGTTAATGCCACCGAAGCAGATTAAACAGGATGCTGTTTTAAGTTTGAATGCATTAACGTAGACAAGATGTGATCAAGCACATCAATTTGAAGTTCAGCGTGTTAATTCATGGGAGGGAGGAAGGGGCTCTGCTTTCCCAGCAGCACGGAGGTGGGACGGAGAACAGGGACATCCAAGGACAGTGCATCCAAGAGGTCCCAGCTGCAGACACAGCCCTGGGGCTGCTGAGCTCGTTGCTGGATGCAGCGAGCGGACCAAAGCTCCCCTGTCCCCCGCACGCCCTTGGTCCTTGGCCCCGCCACGCGAGGGTGCTGCCGCCAGTGCCCCGCAAGCCAAGCCCTCGCCGGGCTCCTCCCCACCTGCACTT